GCTGTAATATGTCTGAAATATGTAGGTTGACTTGACAAGGTGGTTCCCTTTGTTTGTACTGTTATGTACTGAGATTTAACATTGCTGCTGATCTTTCTTTTCTACAGAGGAGGATATACAGATCAACAACACATGTGCCACAGGAGCTAGGGAAGATCATGGATTCTGAAACATTTGAGAAGTCACGTCTTTATCAGCTGGATAAAAGCAACTTCAGCTTTTGGTCTGGACTCTACTCTGAGACTGAGGGCACGGTAAGAGCGACCAGCAGTTTCAAACACATAGATTATTTGACTATTATAATTATAAGTTTTCTGTCATTTAACATCAAGGATGAGTGATGTCTTAATTTGTCACATTAAGTCGTATTGGAATGGGACAGCGAGATCATCTTACCATGAATGTTCTGTTTAACTTAGTGTCTTCATGTTTGTGCCAAATATTCAAAATGTTCTTCATAAAGGTTTCATTGACTTTTTAGTTGATCCTGCTCCTTGGTGGAATCCCGTTTCTGTGGGGCGTCGCTGGTTCTGTGACAACTCGCTTAGGATTCAGTCCAGAGTACGAGATCACCCAGTCCCTCGTGTTTCTGACCCTTGCCACCCTGTTCAGTGCCTTAACTGGACTTCCCTGGAGTTTGTACAATACTTTTGTCATTGAGGAGAAGCACGGCTTTAATCAGCAGGTACACCGACTGAGCAGTACTGACCCTCTGTAGACCTGAATGTGGCTGTTTGTAGTTTCCTTTCTCAGGAAGAACTGCAGCTGTGATCAGTTGGATTTGGATGGATGAATAGATTGGAGCCGACATGGATCCAACATTGACTGAGGGATGTGTCACACTATCACCATCTTACGGGCTCCAAAGCTGCAGAAGAAGTAGTTTGTTCAGCCGTATTTTGGCAAAAACAATGACTGTATGAGACATAATAAACATGTGGGTGACAGAAAATAATAAATAATTCTGCAGGACAAGACAGAAGTTTCTATAAACAATTTGATATTATCCACCATGAAAGGTTGTCACTGTTAGAATCTACCGTATCTGATATGAATTCAAGCAGACCGCTTAAAGCTACAAACTTCACAGCCACATTAAAACCCAGGCTACCATTTGTCACACCAACAAATGCACACACATCCTGACTCTCTCTTTCTCTGTCATCGGCCATTGTCTTTGTTTATATTAATGTCTGGTCTTCCTCTCAGACGCTGGGGTTCTTCCTCAAGGATGCGGTAAAGAAGTTTGTTGTGACCCAGTGTATCCTGCTGCCTGTGACCTCGCTGCTCCTCTACATCATCAAGATTGGTGGAGACTACTTTTTCATCTATGCCTGGCTCTTCACCCTGGCTGTCTCTCTGGTTAGTGATGTGTTCACTGTGGTAAACAATGTTTGAACTTGAAAAGGCATCTCTATAAGTTGTTTGGTGCCACCACTTCATCATAATTAATCTCCTCTTCTCCTATGTTCTTAGGTACTTGTTACCATCTATGCTGATTACATTGCTCCCCTGTTTGACAAGTTCACTCCATTGCCAGAAGGAGAGTTAAAGACAGACATTGAGGCTATGGCCAAAAGTATCAGCTTCCCCCTCACAAAGGTTTACGTTGTAGAAGGTAAAGTAAACACAGCACGCCTGTACATGGATTTACATGCCTGTTTACCATCTTGAAAGTTTTTTAAATATGTTGAATGTCTTCCATACTTTCAGGTTCCAAACGTTCATCACACAGCAATGCATACTTCTATGGGTTCTTCAAGAACAAACGTATTGTGCTGTTTGACACTCTGCTGGAAGACTACTCACCTCTAAACAAGTCTGGAGAGCCACAGCCCGAGCCGCCAGAGAGCGATGACACATCCAGTGAAGCGAAAGCCAAGCCCAAGGTTACATAGCCATAAACTTCATTCAGAAAAGTTCTTATTGCTCTGACATAAACAAGGCTTCCTTATTTGGTCTTGACAGTACCTGATAATGTCAATAGTCTTTCATTTTGAGAAAAATCTGTCCGTGGAACATCTAATTTTGTCGACCATGCTTTTCCGTGAAATTTAACGCAGTTTTACTTCTTGAATTTGACCAAACAAAGCCTTGAATTTATAGTCATGAGTGTCAGAATTAGTAATGATAATGATAGAAGTGAATTGTCTTTCAGGGTAATACAGTTGTCTTGTTCTCTTGTAAATATTTGTACAGAACAAGAAACAAGGCTGCAACAACCCAGAGATCCTTGCAGTCTTGGGTCATGAGCTTGGACACTGGAAGCTTGGCCATACTGTAAAGAATATTGTCATCAGTCAGGTTGGGATTTTATGAATTTATCTTTTTACTTCTGTTTTCTTTAGTTTTCTAATCCATTTTAATGACTGTACCAACAGCATGAAATTGACCTCTGTGCAGATAGAGCAAAGGCAGACATATCCCACTAAAGTAAATGGATTCGATTAAATGCTGAATTTGACCAAATGCATTTACTTATACAGATATACAGATTTGGGTTAATATGCAAATAACCTCGGCTGACTCTTGTTTCTGCAGATGAATTCCTTCCTGTGCTTCTCCCTGTTTGCTGCTCTGATTGGACGTAAGGAGCTGTTTGTAGCTTTTGGCTTTGATGACAGCCAACCCACACTAATAGGCTTGATGATTATCTTCCAGTTCATCTTCTCCCCATACAATGAGGTGACTAAGAGATTCTACAAACAATATACCAGTCTTTTGAGATGTTTATATATTTCATAACTTACAGATCTGCGTCTGTCTTTCCAGCTCCTGTCCTTCTGTCTAACGGTTTTGAGTCGCAGGTTTGAGTTCCAGGCAGATGCCTTTGCACGTGGCATGGGCAAAGCCTCCGAGCTCTACTCTGCCCTCATCAAACTCAACAAGGACAACCTGGGCTTCCCCGTAGCTGACTGGTTGTTCTCCATGTGGCACTATTCCCACCCTCCCCTCCTGGAGCGCCTCAGAGCGCTGGGCAACGTCAAGCAGGACTGACGGGGCTGGAAGGGGGAGCGGCGACCGCTGCCTCCTCCCAAGGGCCTCCGCAGACCGCTCCTGGCCCTGTGATGCACCTCGGCCTTTCTTTACCCAACTGCACCCCCTCATCTTGTTTTATCTTGTTTTAGTCTTTTCTTCACTTGCCATTCTTTCCATTTTTTTTCCTCTTTGAAACTTTCTTTTAAACAAAACCAAAACATATCAGCACAAGGCAACCTAAAAAAAATCATAAGCCTGTACTGAAAGTCTCTGCTCTTTCTCTAGAGACACCTAATATGCACTTGCTGAGAGCAATACATCTGGGCAATGTGTGTTTTAAAAAAAAAAGCTAATGTCGGAGTCCTGGTCACATTTTACACGCAATTTAGTTTTTGACATAACTATAACTTTGTTGAAGCGCAACTAATAGAATTTGGCAGAATTTGCAAATCCTGGAATTTTACTTGTACATCTGTGTGTTTCTATTGTGATGCAGACATGGCATCCAACTGTTAAGAGCACAAAAGTGAAGAGGGTTTTATTTGTTGTGAATTTAAAGAAGGAAAACAATTACGGACATGGTAGGTGGGTAGACAGATAACTTCTTACAACTCATGACAATACTTTTTACAGATACACAGGCCAGAATTAGATTTGTCTCTCAAGTGCAACTGTTGGGGTTTTTTTTTTTTTTCGTTTTTTTTCTTTGTTTTTTTTACGCAATATCTCCGGGCAAGCTCAAGAGAATAATGTTAATCCAGTCATCAAATCAAATTCACAGTTTTGCAAGAGGAACTATGTAGATGCTTTATCACAGTGAAAAAATGTGAGTGCCTCTAATTATTGCTGTTTGCGTTCAGATAATGGAAATATTATGAATACAGCAGTGCAGAAAATTTCATTTGAATTTTTTTACATGCATTGGGGGGAGATCTTGTTTTACTTTTTCTAAAGCACTTGCCGACAAGGGTGCAACCATACCTGTACATATGTAACTTTGATGAGTAGCGTATCGACGTATGAAGTGAATTGTGAAAAATGTTGAATGTGGTTTGAAATTTTAAGTTGATATGGTGTTTTTTAGTTTTTTCTCTTGGATTTTGGGCCGGAGTGAGCGCAGAGTTGCCTGGTAAGCAAAGTGTTTATAGGGGACTTTGGGGAAGGGGTCTGTGAGTGTCCTTCCACCACATAAGCCAGTGCTTGGTTTGTTCAGAGAGGGGACTCTGTACTTTATCTGCAGCGTTGAATAAAATCCTTCAAAGCACTTCTCTTATTCTGGATGATGGTTTTATTATCATTTTTAAATAGTTCTGAAAATTAAATGGGATTGCATTTGCAAGCATCTATTTTATGACACAATACATGACATACTGTCTTACTTTGACAACTTTCACTAGTACACCACAATCAATTGTAGTTTAATGTCTTTCTCTTATGACTTCTTTCTAGTTTATAACTTAAAAAGTAATGAACTTGAACATGAAAAATTTAAACAGTTTTATTTAAGTAATGCATGACAGAAAAAATTGTTGATATAGATGAATTAAAGAAATAAGTGTTTACACACTGATAACTTCGATAGTTTTAACATAATGTTAAATTATGTGAATAATTTAAAGAAAACTAAATAATATTTTGTACCAGAAAATGAGCATGTATGTATATGATATTCGGCTAATATTGTATTTGATTTAACAAGGTAAAATCTCTTTGGTTTTAATAGTAAATAAAAAAAATAAACGTCTAATATCAACGTAGGGTTAACTTCTAAAGAGAACGTGCGGTATCACGCTGTCCATTTTTAAGACCGTACCATTACGAAAATGGGATACAGTTTTTCTTTACACTGTAATACTTTACTTATGTATATAAATTCAAATTTGGCAGCGTACTGTAAAAACAGTATATGATACATGAATTGCTATTTAACTCCGTTTCCAACAGCACCAACGTGATGCTCGTGTAGTCACCCCTGTCGTGTTAATAATGGCGCCGTCCAGAGGTCTATGTTTATGGACAAGGACAAGCCGCACTGTCAGTGTCGATGCTGTTTTCTCACGTGAGCGTCAAACATGGCGAGATTTCTGAGGCCTAACATCAGGAGTTTTATCAACTCACAGCTGAGAATGTCGTCCGACCAGGTAAAATACGTCCAGTAAACACATCACTTGATTAATACACGGCTTTTGTTAAACGTTATATTGCTGTGTGTGAATCATTTAAAAATGAATTAGCCTATTAGTTTTGCCAGTCTGAAATTCACCTTTATGGCAAATAGATAAACAACTGTTATTGACATGATTATAGGTCAGAGGAATTCTTTAGTAATGTAGCTTTAGGACATTGATCAGTTGTACAAACAACAATGCCGATGATTAATAAGCAGGCATTTACTTTAATCATAACAAGTTTTGAATAAGTAAAATACCAGGAGTTGCGTGTTAACCATTGAACTGTCCCGAGGTCTTGGTCGCATTGTTTTTGCAGAAACAGTTTCTAGTCTGTTCCAACGACCTCCTGTCTCTATTATTACCTGGCAAACAAAGAGGCCCTTTCCCCTCATTCAATAATCTGAATCTTGACCTTCAGAAGAGGCTGGTTTTCACAGGCTCCAACTACCTTAATATCACATAGACTCGTCTAGATAACAAAACCTAAGAGAGATATTAACTTTAAAACGGTGTAATCTGAAGCCCCTGTCCCTTGAAGAAATATCTACAATGTGAAGCCATACCAAGGCTCAAATTTGTTGCTGAATGTTCATACTTAACATTTTCTCTTTGAATTGCTCAGTTGGGTGAGCTGGGTAAAGGTGCAGGAAAAGGTGGTGGAGGTGGAGGGTCCATCAGAGAGGCAGGTGGAGCCATGGGGAAGAAGCAGGCCGCTGAGGAGGAGATGTACTTCAAGTATGTATTTCTGTCTTTTACAGAAACAAAATGTGGACAGAGTGTTGGCTCTATTTATAGCTCTACTACTTGCTTAACTTACAAGTGACAATTACAGTTACTTACAATTTTCTTTTTATTATGATCTTCTCTTACTGTCCTGATTCCTCTCTGTGTCTCTTTATCCATTCTCTTTGTTCCCTTCCCCTGTTCTCACTGTTAATCCTTTTTCTTCTCTGTTGTCATCTGCTGCCATATCTATCCATCTAAACGCAAGGCGTAAGGAGCAGGAGCAGCTAGCTGCACTGAAGCAGCACCACCAGGAGGAAATTGATCACCACAAAAAGGAGATTGAACGTCTGCAGCGTGAGATTGACCGCCACAAGGGAAAGATCAGGAAGCTTAAGCATGACGACTAAGTGAAACCTTCCTTTAAAAACAAGTTTGCTCACCGTTCAGTAAACACTCCACTGTGTCACCCGGCCAGACATGAATGTATGAGAGATTGTTCTGTAAATGCTTGAAAGTTATTAAAGCCGTTCATAAAATGATTACTGTTTCTGTGGCATGCTTTGACCTAAGTTGTACACCTTTCTCAACCTTTTCGCTTTATCATCAGTGTGCAGTATGTTACAGGTAAAAAGCCAAAGTGAAAAACCTAAATGCTGTAACGCTTCATGGCAAAATCAAGGAATCTTACTGTGTACTGTATAAATGAGTTTGCAATGTAAATGGCAATTGTAACTCTATCTTTTAGTGTTGTTAAAGGTCAATCAACAGAGAATTCAATAATTTTGATTACCAAGTAATTGCCTAAGTAATATTTTAAGGAAAATTACTAAACATTCCTTAATTTCAACTCATCAAATGTGAGGATTTGCTGATTTTTACTGTTTTATGTCAGTGTACGTTTAAGTTTAGTTTTCTGACATTTTACAAACAATTAATCATAAGAATAAGAATGGGCTGCTATTAAATATGTTTGTGGCACTTTGATCAATCACAAATTTATTAAGCAATATACACCATGTAATACTCCATCCAGCAGTGGCTTTATTCTATAAATATCCATTTCATCACAGTCCAAGTATTAAACATTGTGAATTGAAATGACAAGCAAGTCTTATGAAAGGAAAAACAAAATATAAAAGACATGACACCTAAAATAAAATAAAACACACTGAATTAACACATACAATAGATAAGATAAATAGAATTCTAGATGCAGTTAATGCAGAATAATTAGTTATGCAGATACTTGTTTTTTTTTATGAAATTTCAGAGATTACAAAATATGTAAAATCGTGAAGGAAAAGTGAAAAATACTGTCATTTTTTTTTAGAAAAGCATACGTTCTGACAATAAAATGAAATATTGTAGTCTTCACATCCAAAATATATTATAAGGTCAACAGAAAGTTGATGGGGAAAAAAATCATACACAGATCCCGCGAGAAAACAATATACACGTCGTCACTTCCGCTGTGCCCCTGCCTTTTACCACGAGCAACCCCGTGTATCTTTCTTTTCGCACATCATGGCGGACCGGTTCAATAAGGTGAGGAACTGCTGCTGAATCATAATGCCTTATTTTTGCTTTTAAGTCCGTGTAAAGTCTTGTTTTTTACATCTATATTGCGGGCGATAACTACTTGAGCACTTGGTGTAATCGTCGATTTGCTCGGTGTTTGTTTTAAGACTGGATTTTAAAACGTTTAAGACGGCTAGCCTTGGCTAAGTGTACATGCCTTCATCATGGCAGCTTCCCTAACGAGTCAATGCTGTTAGCTTGCTTCCTTTAACGTGTGTACTGGTTGTGTATAAATCTTAGTGAGGTATGGATAAAAGTACTATAATTGAAGGCGCCTATACTTTGTTCATACAAGGGTGCCATACTTAACTGTTCACCCGACTCATTTAAGTCTAAATTACAGTCAACGTGTCTGCATGCTTTGACGTTGATGCTAAGCTAATATTTTAGCTTAATCGGTAAGTTCTTAATGTCCATGTGCCAGTTATTGTAAGGCTCACGGGGGCTGCAATGCACCTCTCAAAGTCCCTTAACGTTTCTAATTAGCACTGGTCGTTTTAAATGTGCAGGTTTTGCAGTTTCTGCTTGGATTTAATAGTCAGGATTAAAATGTGACAGTGCGCACTGACAAATGTGAAGCACTCCTCTGATTTGATTAATGTAACCCTTAAAGCTTATTATTTTATATCGCGAGTAATACAGCGGTACCACTTTTTGTCTTTCAAACCTGCAGGTTCTGCTGCTTGATGGCAGGGGCCATCTATTGGGCCGCCTTGCTGCCCTTGTGGCTAAACAAGTCCTCCTGGGTAAGTTTTTTTTTTTTTTTTTTTCCTAAGAAGTTTAGATGTAACGTGCTGGCTGGTTAATATGTTTATTAAAACTGTCTAGTAACCACAATATTTAAATAACTGAACAGCACATTGAGTGTGAAGCTGTTGTGTGGCCTCAATCTGTCAATGATGATTTAACTTACCTAGCTTGAGTTTAACGACCATGAGAAAACTCACATGCACTACCATCTGAGACGGAATGCGGATGATTGTCAACATGACTGGATTTTTTGAAGTCCAAACACTAAACTGTTGTCTTCATCTCTTATAGGACACAAAGTGGTTGTGGTGAGATGTGAAGGCATCAACATCTCTGGCAACTTCTACCGCAACAAGCGTAAGTAGGGGTGTTTGTCTGTTCACATTAAGCTTTTTTCATTGTGCTTTTTTTTAACATGCTTGTTGTCAATGATGTTTTACCACTATAATTCGAGTTTCAATGACCATGAGAATACCTTACATGCACTACCATCTGAGACATCAGCATTACTTACTGGAATAATGGTTACCATTGTTTAGTGTCTTGAAGTATTTTCAACTTTGTAATGTTTTATAGTATTTCTGTGTCATGTGCCTGTCTACAGTGAAGTACCTGGCTTTTCTGCGTAAGAGGATGAACACCAACCCCTCTCGTGGACCGTACCATTTCAGAGCCCCTAGCAGGATCTTCTGGAGGACTGTCAGAGGTGAAAATGTGGCACCACTCTGCATAACTAACCACTTGAATATAAAATTATTTCAATACCAATGAAACATTCTTGCACTGAGAATGTAACAAGGATAACTGAAAAATGGACACATCCTGTGAAAGATATGCATATACATTGAAAGCACTTCACTGAAATTATTAGATTTGAACTCAATTTCCTGAGCTTAGTACAAGTGGAGTAAATATGTTCTAAAATGTGGGCTGCATGTGGGACATGCATTAGGTGTAACTTACAATGTTTTTCAGAAATATATAAAAGGTGGTTTGCTTAAATGAAGCCCTTTTGGTCTATTTGTGCCTCCTTAAACCATGAATCATAAGAACCTAACAAGGACCTGGTGTTGGATTGAAATATCAGTACTGAGTCACGTTCAGGTTTTAGTTAAGAGCTGACTTAATATATAGTGTTAGGTTTGCCTTCATTTGCCCCAGCACAAGTTATTCCTTACTTGACAGTGATGAGCTCTTTATCCCGAAGCTGATCATCCATTGATGAAACAAACTTTTACGGATCTGATTGCTGAGTTGAGCAAGGTTTTACACTTGTGCTTGGACAAATAAACATTTTACACAGTTGCACTGGTTGCTATTTGACAATGTATTTAACCTTTTTCTCTCTGCTTAACCAGGCATGTTGCCCCACAAAACCAAGAGAGGACAGGCTGCTCTGGAGAGGCTGAAGGTGTTCGATGGTATCCCCCCACCCTATGACAAGGTGATGATCTCGCTCAACAGCCAAGGGCCACATTATATGTATCTGTATGGCCCATACATATGGCTTTAACTCTGCTGTCTGTGATGTCATTTTATTACCTTACCTACCTTGTTTGAACAATGACCATGAAAAGAAAAAAATATCTGAGACATGCTGACACATTAGTGTGAAGGTGTGCCTTTTGCTTCTTTATCTGATTTTTGAATTTTTGTTACCACAGAGGAAGCGCATGGTTGTCCCAGCTGCTCTTAAGATTGTGCGTCTGAAGCCCACTCGCAAGGTAAGGTTTGAAGGGCAGACTAAATGAGATTAGTCACACTTCTGACTTTAAGTGTAGATCTTACTTGGCTGTAAAATTGGCAAACATGGATAAAATCAAAATGCTTCAATTCACCTGCTACAACAGTTCGAACTTGACAGTGATGAGCTCTTTATCCCGAAACTGATCATCTAATGATGAGACAAACTTTACGGATCTGATTGCTGAGTTGAGTTAGGAACAAGTTGTGCTTTGAGTTGAAACTTTAAACACAAACTAATTAACATGTTAAAGGAAATATCATTTTAAGTGTGACACTTTTTCTAAGAAAATATCCACTGTTGCAATTTTAAACATTCTTGTTTCTCCCTCCCACTTAGTTCGCCCTCCTCGGCCGTCTGGCCCATGAGGTCGGCTGGAAGTACCAGGCTATCACAGCCACCCTGGAGGAGAAGAGAAAGGAGAAGGCCAAGCTCCGGTACTCAAAGAAAAAGACACAGATCAAGCTGACCAAGCTGGCTGAGAAGAACGTTGAGGGAAAGATTGCAAAATACACAGACGTTCTGAAACAATATGGAGTCCTCGTCTGAGATGACTTTCTCTGGCCAATAAAGTAAAATACATGTTTATAGAAAGTGTATTGACTTTTTTTATTCCTCACGACTAAAAATGGTTGCGATAATGGTTAATCTGCAGTGACATACATGCTAGTAGTTACATTGAATATAAACACTAGCATATATGCAGATGTATTTTATTGAACGAGTATGGACACTCCAGAGAAAGAAGGTACCATTCACATGCAGGTGTGTGGGTCTAGTTTTAAAATGTAGTTGGCAACAGTTGAATTTAATTCATTTGCAGCACTTCTGTGGGAGTTTTGATGCAGAGAATATGTGCTACAGTTATGACATATTTCACGGTGATGGGTTTTTCGATTAATTTTAAGTCTCAATAGATGCCGTTACTCTGAGACCTTGCTGCACTTGGAGCACCATGCTTTTGCTTTTTCAGCTGCTCTCATATCTAATCTATCGGAGAACACTGCTTACAACTTCCATTATAGTTGGACAGATGTGGCTTTTCAAAAAACTGCTGAATAGAATCTTTTACATTGTGTAAGCCAGAGGCGTTTGTTCCTCAGAGGCCTGGCTACTTTTTTTTTCTTTTTTTTTTTTTTTTTTTTTTCTCTGGTCCTTCAGAATTTAATCTATATTGTGGTGACTTAAGTCTGCAAGCTGCTGTATTGCATGGAGGTAAAGTATTAATGTGAAGTCACCTTTTGAGAAATTTGACACCTGGCTCAAACAACAGAGGATATGATATTAAGGAGAAATCCAGATCACAAATACAATTAATTGAGTTGGTTAGACACATTCCCCCTTTCATCCTTTTTACTCTGTTTTCCGTCGGTTCCGTTCAATTGGAGTTGAACGTATGAATAAAATTTCAGGATTATTTTGAATTTTTTTTCTTTTGTAAATATCCACACATTTAATTTCACACAT